AATTGGTTGGGGTTGCAAAAGGCGTGAATAATGCTACTGAGATTAAGGGAATCCGGGAGGTAGCCATGTAGGCAGAGGAAGTCGAGGAGGCGAAGGGCTTCTTCGACGTTGTGGTGTATGGTGCATAGTGCATAGATTGTGGATCCTCTTGGTTGAAAATAAAGAAGTCAAGAACCCAGAAAAAATGGAAATATTTGAAAATTCTTACCGACCGGAGAGAAGGAGAAGAGAGGTGGCGAGCACTGGTTGCGGTGAGATAAGGCAGAAAAGGAGACCTCAAAATCAGAATCGGAACTAGAATCAAGTGGTCGACGAGGTCAGAGAGTGGCGGCAAAGTCGATCATGACGGACGATGGAGGCTTCATCGCCGTCGGTGAGAGGAGACAATGGAGGAAATTCCTTTTCAAATTGAAAATCATGGGTTTGTGGGAGAAATTGAAATACACGGGTTTTATTCTTCTAAAGTAATTTATAAAAAATTGATGTACTTGCGATAGGTGAAAAAGATGGGAATTATACAGGGAACTGAGGAAGGTGAAAATGAAATTTCCAATTATTTATACCACAAATTCTTTGGATAAAAGTTTAAAATTAATCCCAACATATTGGGCCAAAGACTATGGATCAGTATTTGGCGGTCTCTTCTCTTGTTTAGGCTAATTAGCCCAATATGCTTTTGGACTGCATACCAGCCCAATTTTTTAAGCGTTAAATTAAAGTTATTAAACAGTTTTTTTTTTTACAAGGTAAATGGTTAAAAAGTTAGTATGAATTAGTTGTTAATAGCTGGGGATTTAATTTTTAGATTAGATGAATATTTCAACCCCTCAAATGAGGTGCGCGGCCAGGTCATTTTTTAATGAAGTTTACGATAGTAGAGCTCAAAGTTTTAACCATCATTTCACCCAAACACTTAAAACTTGAGATGGAAGCATTGTATCTAAAAGGGATTATTAAACAGTTTCTCTTTTAAACAAAAACAAATATAAAAAAGTACATGTCGAATGAATTATAT